TAATATTAATAGACCTTACTTTAACTCAAGTCTGTTCAAAGCAGCAGCTGATCTAGCAGGTTAGTCTCCCTTAGCAGTAATAGTCCTTCAATGCCTGCTTAGATGTATATAAATGTTTCTCTGTGCACAGAATAACTCTCTAGGAAGTGTTAAACAGCACTGTTATTAGGCTGGTGGAGGACAACACCAGACATCCAAGAACTAAGGATATTGAATAACTAACAATCATAGGGCAAGGAAGGGGATCACTATCAGTGACAAACAAGGTAATCTCTGGTCTCTAAACAAGTGACTGTTTTTCTCCCCTGTAGTGAAGAAGACATGTGCCGAATCTGACTTTGTGTGCCTCAGTGGTCAGTGTGTGCCTAACAGATGGCAGTGTGATGGAGACCCAGACTGTGAGGATGGGACTGATGAGAGCCCTGAACTGTGCCGTAAGTGAATGTGGGGAGTAGCATTTTAGCTTCCTGTCTGCTTGCAACCTTGCTCTCCTCCTAAAGGAAGGATGAATTTCCCTTGGAGAGCACCTTCATAAGTGCCAGCTTGGCTTTGGGCACATCAGGGTCTTGAGGAAACTTTTTATTGCTTAAAAAGATGCAGAACTGAGTGAGCACTCTGCAGTTGTGCTGTTAGAGATAGCAAGTATGAGATTTCACTGACAGTAAGAAGCAGCAAGCACAACATGGCAATCCCGATGATTGCTGTTGCTGTCTTCTAAGACAGCTCCTTTGCAAGTTCAGTCCCTGTACTACCAGGGCTAGTGTAGGGAGTGAGTGGTTGACTACATGTCAGGAGTGGGAAATGAAAGTGAAGAGACTTGACTGTGAGGTCTCACATTTGGCAACTCCGGTCTTAAGTGTGGTAACTCATCAAGGAAGCTTCATTTTCTCTCTATCAATCCACACTGATGAATAATTCAGCCCCAAGGCCTACTGCACTTGAGGTCATTACTCCTGCCTACTCCTATATGTTATTAGGATTTGGAAGTATCTTTTTTAACTGAATGCTACAAACTAATGTAACCTTTTCTATGATAGCACCATCAACTCCGATGGATGTTAGCATCTAAGTAACTGTAACTTTGTCCAGAGCCCAAGCCTTTTGGTTTCAACTTTCAGGACAGCTGCTAAAACCCAAGACCACTAGCTCTTAAATTGAACTTATACTTTTTCCAATAGATATGAGAACATGCCGGGTAAATGAAATCAGCTGTGGTCCGCAGTCAACCCAGTGTATCCCAGTGTCCTGGAAATGTGATGGTGAAAAAGACTGTGACAGTGGAGAAGATGAAGAGCATTGTGGTAAGGGAAAAAATGATGGCTGCATAGCTCTATTTGAAATTGACTTGTCCGGAAAGGAGCTAGCTGGCTAGTATACCTGGAAAGATAAATTTCTCATAGTATCAATATCTCTTCTACATCTATCTTGTTTGTATTGCAGCTGCTTAACAAAGCAAACTTTTTCTAACACTCCTCTATCCTCCTAAGTTAAGAGCTACATTGTATAAGCTGTTCAACATCTGCCTTTCTTCTGTGGCTAATTTTGGTAGTAGCCATAGGCTTAGTCACATGGCAGGCCAACTATCAGAACTTGTTTTCTGGAGAATTTCTGAAGAGGTAACTCTAGTTGCTGCTTACATTAACAAATTGTCTCCTAAAAATAGTAGTGACTTGTGGCCAAGGGCACAGTGGATCTAATTTATAGGCCTATCCTGAAGTATACTGTGAAGCTGGATTTCAGGTGGGGGAGGAGGGGGCAACTTCAGACTGGTACACCAATACAGCTGCCACTAGAAGCATTAGAGTG